GATCATCATATTTGTGAAACCTTCTAAAAATATCTACAAATAATATTCTCTAAAGCTAATGTCCAATAAGATATAAAGAATTATTTATCCAATTATATTATGATATGAAGCGATCAATAATAAAATTAACTAATATTCTACTAAAAGTTCATATCACAATAATATATATTTTTATCTTTATCAGATAATTTAAGCTTTTTTTATTATTAAATTAACTTTATATTTTATATTAATAAGTAATTTTCATCTTTAAAATTTATTTTTTTTTATGTCTCATTAAATTAATATTTTTTCTTTTAACAAACAAGTTTTTAATTATCAAAAATATCAGAATAATAATAATTATGATTAATAATCTGATTGATATTATTATTTGATAATTTTATATCTTTTTATTAACAAATTCTTTCAACTTTAGTTCTTGATTTATTATTTAAATTTCTGGTGATAATAAATAATTACTGGTATGATAAGAACTTTTCTGACTAGACACATATTTTTATTTCTATCAGGTAATCCAAGATTTTTTTACTGTTAAATTATCTTTATTAATGAATAATTTTTTCACTTTTAAAATTTTTTTTTAAGTATTTTGATCAATTCAAAATCAAAGTCTAATTATTTTTTCTGGATAATAATAATTATAATTAGCTCAAGTTTAAGAAAGTAAGTAAGAGTGAGTAAGTGAACAAGTAAAAAAATGAGAATAAATAAATTAATAATAATTGAGTAGGTAATCTTATAAGTAATCAAACAAGTAATCAAGAAGATAGTTAAATAAAAAAGAATAAATAAGCTTTAATTATCAATAATATAAAGTGAAAATTTAATAAATCTTCTTTTATTTGAATATTCTTAATATTAAATTATTCTTGAGTTATATTATAAATAAAAAAAATAAAATATAAGTTTATTCTTAATATTTAAATTATTCTTGAATTATATTATAAATAAAAAACAAAGTATAAGTTTATTATTCTTGAATTAATATTGTAAATAAATAATAAATGCATGATATTCTTGTTCTAATCTTAAAGATATTAGAGACAGACTCCAGAAATTCCAGAAAGACAGATTGTGATCGGAAGTCACATGATCTGTCATTTTTTTTCTGTTTCACTTTCTAGAAAGGAGAATGATCGCCCGCCGAGATGCGTATTTTTTTTGCCAAGATCATGTGATAATCATCGTCTGATAAATCACTCGTGTTTTTCTTCCAACCACGTTCTGAACTACAATGGACACCTACTATGACTACTTCAAAGAAACGAACCCCGAGGAATATCGCTTCTTGGATTTTTATAAGTACCGCAGTAAGCAAACTGATTTCACATATTCATTTCAAAAGGAAGCAGACATACTTCGGAAATGTCTGTCCAACATGTTGAGAGAGAGTTCGGAAGACATTAAGAAACGGATTAGTCTGCTACTGCAAGATTTTGAGGCAAGTTATTTTGATTTTTCTGAAAGGTTGGCACGCAGTATGGGAGATTTCCAGCAGTCCCGAGAAGGGGTAAAAACTCTCACAACTACGGTGGGCATCTACTTGTTACCCATCTTATGGTCTACTTGTCCGTTGTGGTCTGCCATAGGCAGTATGGGAGTCTTCCAGCAGTCCCGAGAAGGGGTAAAACTCACATAACTACGTTGGGCATCTATTGGTTGCCCATCTTATGGTCTACTTGTCTGTTATGGTCTGCTTGCATCAACTAAATCAACTAGCGTTCTATCACAAACTTATTAACGTACTCCACCATTTTTTATTAGAAACATCGATTGCGCAATCAGGATATCAATTACTTCTGGAACAGAATCGAGTTAGAGTGTAACAAAAATGAACAGCAACGTCTAGAGTCAGAGAGAACTACGCGAACAGTAAGTTTTCCTTGCCGAATAACTTTTTGTGCTTTTTCTAACTAACTGGTATACATATAGCTACGATGCTACGTCAGTATAAGAAGTAAGACACAAGATATGATGGAGAACATGGCCGAGGAGACAACAGAAGAAGCCGAGGTTTGCTGATGTCATGATGTTAACGTAGATTACATAAATTGTATTTTGTTTTATTTACATATCTATATCTCTTTTCCTCATCGCTCAAGAATGCTCGCAAGCGATTACATTCCGAGTTCTCGGGATATAAACAAAACGAGGAAGGATTCTCAACCCCACCAAATAAGGTCAGTATATAACTTAAAATTTAATTAGTAAAAACATCTGCTGACCCTTTGACTACCTTTTGAATGCATAGATCAGAACCTCCAATAGAATGTTCTCGAATGAAAGCCCATCCACAATAAGAGATCCGAAAATAATGGAAATTTTTGATGAAAATATTGCGTCGGATCTGAAAGAGAAAGCTCAACGATCTACCTCATCTTTTCTGTCAAAAAAACGTGCATGCAACACACAGCAAGAGGATGAAAAAGGTATTACAGATGAAGATTTGGCGAATTCAGTGATCGATGCCTCCAACGCTTTCGGCCAAGTTGAATTTCCGTTATATTATAGTAAACTTAAATCTATCTGGAACAGTAAAGATGCTACAAACTATTATGTTATCGATTTAGGAGATAAAGATACATTGTATAATGTTCATAATCTTTTAGATGAGGATGAGTTGAAATCGTTGTTTAAAAGGTTAGCGTTGAATGATGAGGATATGCACATAGATGAAAAGACACATAAATATATAGAGCTGTTTGATCAGATTATAGAGGAAGAGAACTTGAAGAAAATTAAACTAATTAATTAACTAATTAACTAACTAACTGTCTAATTAACTAACTAACTGTCTAATTAACTAACTTTTTTATTAGTTAAGATACATTACTTTTATATATTTTAAAGATAATATAAATAATATTTTTATTATATTATTTATATTACTTTTACTATAATCTAAATATTATTTTAACTAGTATAATAATATTGATTTTATTATAATAGTATTACTAATTTTACTATAATAATTTTGCTAACTTTGTTATAATAATTTTATTATAATTATTATACTTGTAAAATTATTTATAAATATTTATAAATAATAATTTTTATAGTTAATATCTAATAAGTAATTAATCATCTAATTATATTATAATATAAAGTAATTAATAATAAATAATTAATTATTATTTTATTAAAAGTTCATATTATAATAGAATTCTCTTTATTAATATTTTGCTCTGCAAAATTTAAAATTAAATATTAAACTTTTACAAGACTTAATAACTTTTCAAAATTATTATTTATTTTTCTTTCAAGTTTTATTAATAATAATTTCTTTAGACTAAGAATAGATTATTCTAAAATATATTAAAATAATTATTAACTCTATTAATAATTTTTTAATATTAGAATAATATATTTTTAATTATTATCTGTAAGAGCTTATTATAAAAAAATAATTTTTCTTTAATCAAGTTTATATTTATTATAATATTTATTACTTCTTATTTTATTTGAAGTATATTATAATTAATATTTTTATTAGATAGTATTATAATAATTATCTTTAAGATAATATCTCTTAAGATAATTTTTGCTCTTAATCTATAGACTAATAGTATTTTAAAAGAATTTAGATAAAAAATTCAAAGTAAATTCTATTATTAAATAAAATAAGAAAGATATTTATAATAAAATATTATTTTATAAATAAATATAATACAGAATAAATATATTAAATTAAATAAATATATGTTATAACTAAATAAGATTATAAAAATTTTAAATTAATATATTTTTCAGATAAATTATATAGAAAAGAATTTTTTAAATAAGTAAATCTGTAATACAGATTGATTTTTATGTTTAATTTCTATATTATAATATATTATAATATGTAATTTTGATTGTATTACTACTAATTCAGAAATTGATATAATTTTATATTATATTAGATAATTACTCTGCTATATTATTTTTATTGATATTCTTTAAATTAATTTATATTTGATATTTGTTTACTATTTTATAATTAATTTCTATTTTTATAATTAAATTATACTTTTTTATTATTTATTTTATTATTAATAATAATATAATTTCTTTATAAATTTTTTTGAATTTAAAAGAATAAAGATATTTTATTACTAATATTTATTTTTTATTTTTTTTAATGATATTAGACAGATTTATCTTGTTATTAAATTAGAAAGTAATATTTTTCTTTTTATTTTTTTAAAAAATAATATTTTTTTATTTTTACTTTATTTTTAATATTATTATTATATCATTTATTAGTAATAAAATTAAATAATATTTTGATATAAAAAATAATAATATTAATTTCACTTCTCTCAAAACTTGAAATTTTGAGAATTTAAAAATGTAAATAATAATTGTGATATCATATTATTATTTTTTTTACTTTTATTATTTTGGATATTTATAAAATATTAACTATATTTTAATCATATTTATTAATAACTTCATTATTATTTTTCTTTATTATTTGAATTATAAATAAGTTATTATTATTTTTTATTATATTTTTAATTATTTAATTGATAATTAGCAGATTAAATAACTTTATATTTTAAATACTGATTAATTCTAATATCTTCTGAAATTGAATTATGACTTTTAAAACTAGAACTAATATATTTTATTAAGTAATACTGAATTTTTTAAATATTATGAAGAATAAAAAAAGAACTCTTTTTCTTTTAATTCAATATATTCTCAAGAAAATATAAATAAATATAATTTCTTATTTTTATTCTAATAGTATTCAAGATAAATAATAAAATAAGAAATTTTCTATTCTTTTCTTATATCTAAAAATAAAACTTTTTCTTCTTCTTTTCAAAAATTAATTTGTAATAAAAAAGTAATTTTCTTTTTATCTTTTTTTATAATATTGATAATAAACTTTTTCTTTTTATTATTAATAAAGTATAATTTATAATTTCTATAATTTATTCTTATTTCTATATTAATAATAATTTTTCAAATTATATTGATAATCTTGATATTATTATTTTAAATAATTTTCAGTAAGAATGATTTTTTTAACTTTTATATATTAATAATATTAATAATTAATATAAAAAAAGTTATCTTAATATTGTAACCAATTAGCTTATTTATGTGGCGCAGTAGATGTGGCGCAGCATATGGCGCAGCCGCAGCACATGGCATAGTAATTGCCAATTACTACTAAATCAGGTGAATAAATAATTTATATTAATTAATTTAATTTATTATTAATTCT